AGGAATGTGTTGTTGCCAGACTAAGATAGGGTGGAGGTTTGCTAGAAATGCGGGAGAGAGTTGAGAAGGTCGATCTTGATAGTTCCGGACATGATTTGTAGAATGAGAGACTAAAACTGACGGTTCCAAGTACGTTGTCCCCAGAGCATGATGTAATTGTATTCCATAATTCTTTTACTGTGAAGTCCATCTCTATCCCAATTTTGCATTGAATAATCAACTCTTTTTTAACATAAACCCTGTGGGGAGAGTGTGGCGTCGCTCCTCGTCGCGACTGCCGAGTGTAGAGTCGTCGTCGCTTCCAAATCTCACCGCCCTACCGAAACCTTGCCGCTTGCCTCTTCATCTCCTAGCCTCCCGCACCTCAGAGCTCTCTGCGATGCAGAGTTAGGGATTTGTAAAATGAAAAAAGACCACCAACTTTTTTTGTAACTTAATCACACCAAAACAACAGTGCATGCATCAATCAATTTGGAAATTATGTATTTCAGTTAGACTATCTGAAATTCTTAATCTTTGCCGGAATTGACCAAAGCATCTTGCGAGTAACATTTCAGCCGATTTCATGATATTAAGGGGTCGTTTGCTTCAAGGATTTAAAAATGAGGGTTTTGTAATTTAAAAACCCAAAGATTTATCAAGGATTTGAGGCATCATGGATTTGTAACAATCCTTTGTTTGTTGGGATGTTTTTATCATGGATTTAAAGGTGTGGGATTTACTACTTGAAGTCAAAAATTACATTACTGCCCTTTTCTATATGTTTGACATGTTTATGATATGTACACAAAACAAGGACAAAACTTCAAAATTACCTTACTATCATTTTCTATATGTTTGACATGTTTATGATATGTACACAAAACAAGGACAATACATACTAATAAGCATAATGTTGCCACATGGACAATAATAATAAACGAGAAAATTCCGTTTTAACTTTTAACGTAACATAATCAATTACCAATTCTTTGTCCTCCTTTTCAAAAGTAACATATAACAACATATATTAGAATCGGGAGAACAAAGAATTACACGTTCCATGAAAAGGTCAAAGAAAACTAGAACACAAGAAATGATATAAAAAATATAACTCATGTTTGCACATTAATTGAACGTTTATATTATTCATTTATTGTTAATTATAATGTATAATAGTTAAATTTGAGGGCAACCTTGGAATATTAAAAGTGCATAAGGGTATATGGGTAAAATCTCATCAAGGATTTATGCCATATTCCAAATCCCACATCAACATGTGAGATTTATAAGTCCGTGGGGTCCACGGATTTGGACCCTTAAAATCCGTGGGCCCCACGGATTTGGTCTCCAAAAAAGGTGCAAGCAAACAACGCATTGTACCTAAATCCTTGATAGTTGGTTTTTTTGTACCAAATCAATGTACCAAATCCTTGAAGCAAACGACCCCTAAACTTTAGGGGTCGTTTGCTTGTTGGATTTGGGTGATGGATTTGCCACCCAAATCCCAAGCATGATTGATTTAACAAATTCCATTGTTTGTTGTATAAAAATATTGGATATAAAATCCGTGGGGTCCACAGATTTGGACAATCTTTTTGATCCAAATCCGTGGATCCAACGGACTCGCCTTTTATTTGGAATTTGGTTGATGGAAGACAAATCTGTGGGGTCCTTGATACAAAAAGCTACAAATTCATGATAAAAAAATCAACACAAACAATGAACTTTTTCAAATCTGAAATACAACAAAACATCACAAATCTTAAAGTTTTAAAAACTAAAAATCTTTATTCTGAAATCCAACAAGCAAACAACTCCTAGTTCAACCCAGCAAAATGCGGGTAAATTCCCTAAATATTGTTTTTTTTAAAATTTACCAAGAATATAGTGGTTTAAAAACTATTTACAAGAATATTGTGTTTTTTATATGTTTAAAGCGCCAAAGTCTTAGACTCAGGCGCTGCCGCTAGGTGCTTTTTTAGAAATAAAACACAGCGGCGCCGCCGCAGACTGGTCCTTCGTCGCTTTTAAGAAGGTAAAAGCGTCGGTGCCCCAGACTGGGGCTTTGTCGCTGCCATTTTGTCCACTCCAGCACCACCCAATCACCATATATATACTGCACCTTTCCTTTGGTTCTTCATCACCAAAAAACTGAAAGAAGCTCTGGTGTTGCTGTCTGGTTGCTGGGAAGATGGCTAATAACAGGTAAGAGTCGTAATTTTTTTTCCATGTATTCATCATAATGATTTTGTCCAGTTAGTAATTAGTGAGTTTGTTTTTTATGTAGTGGTTTTAGAAGATTTGAACTAGCTGTTCGGTGGCGATCAGAGAAAGTAGAAGACAATTTGGGTGTCCATTTTGTTGGTGGTGTAAGTTTCCAGATGACTATTCCATCCAGGGTGAACTATCAGAAACTTTGTGATCATCTAATTCGGAGAATACGGATTAGAGACGAAACCGTACAAGATAGTGTTGTGATTACAGGTTTCACCTACTGTCTTCCAGAATGGCAGAATGGTGTTTTATTTCATTATGCAATGCCTATTGTCGATGATGATAGCTTAAATGTGCTTTGGAATTTTATGGCACAAAATCCTTATTGTTTGGGTGCTGAGATACATGCTGAGCTCAGTGAGGATCGGGATGGAGAGGAAGACGATGATGACGGTGATGACACATGGAGCATGCCATCCGATCATGATTATGATGACGGTGATGACGGAGATGAGGAAGACGATGAGGAGGAGGAGGAGGACGACGACGACGACGAGGGAGGAGAACTACCTAATTATCCTCCATATTTTTACTTGCAGGGTAATGAAGAGGACGAGGAATTATCATATGCTGATTCATATGGCGTAATTCCAGGGTCTAGTGTTGGTGGTTTTGATGGAGAATTCTACAAGGGGCAAATATTTCACTCGAAACAAGCTGCACAGGTGGCGATTAAACACTATGCACTACAACGCAACTTTTAGTATAACGTGGTGGAGTCGTCACCTTCAATCTGGAAGATCAGATGTTTGATGCACAAGGAGGACAAATGTCCTTGGATGGTGCGGTTTGGATGTCGAGATGTGGGAGGCGATTGGATGGTGTTTTCAAAGGTATTCGTGCACTTCCTATAGCTTCTCTTGTGCAACATACCTATTGGCAATTGGTGGAGAAATTCGATAAGTACAGGTTGGAGACAGGAGCAGAAATTAGAAGTGGTCCTTCATAGTACTTCACCAAGTGCGAAGAATTGATGAAGCCGTGGTCACAAAAGGCAGTTGGGCATTCTGTGACAGCTCTTGATCGACGTCAAGGCATCTATGTAATTCAGACTCCTCCCAACAATTTCAACATGACGGGGGAGAAGGTGGTAGAAGAGGAGGAAGTAGAGGGAATAGACGTGGCTGAGAAGTTTGTTCGAATGTAGCAGTTGTTGTTTTTCTTTCGATTTATCTTGCAGAAGTTGTTGTTGTTTGAAGTTGTTGTTTGGACTTTTATGAACTGAACTAGTTGTTGATGTTTGTTGGTTTTATATTTAAAGTCTCAATTTAGACAATAGCACTAACATGAATTAGTCCGCATGAGATAAAAATAGTCCAAAATAAGTACATAATAATAAATAGTCTCAAGGAAGTACATAATAACAATGCACAGTCACAAAGAACATAATAATAATAATAAATATCTCAAAGAAGTACATAAATACACTAACGACCACCACGACCACCACGCCGACCACCGTGCTCTGCCACTAGATGGCCGCCAGTACCACACCTCGCTGGCCTCCTGTCTCGTGGAGGCAACTGCTCATCTCTCTCCGCCCCATCATCCTGATCCTGTGTGCCGAACATATCATCCACCTGAGACTGAACCTGCTCATCTGGTGGACCCTCTCGTCGCTGCTGCTCATATGCCCAATGAGATGTCTGGAAGTCCTGATCCTGATCCTGCAGACCGACACGCTCCCACTCATCGACGTCCAAATGTGGCAGGTCTGCACTACCTGATCCCATGTGCCCTCCTCCCATCGTAGCATGCTGAGGTGTGTGAAAACTATCCTCCTGGGCCTGAAACTGAGGGCTAGAAGAACTGGTGCCTGCCTGAAAACCGGTAAAAGCGCCTGGCCGTAACGGTGGCTGAGAAGACTGGTGGAATGTGTAGGTCGAAGTAGGTCTGACTGGCTGACGATCTGAGTACCTCACTCCTCGAGGTACGTCACGCTGCTCACGTCGCTGTCTCCTCCTCCTGGGCTCCTCTTTGAACTGTGGCGGTGGCACGCCCCATCCCGATGGCTGAGTCCTACGCTCTGGCCAGCTGGCTAAGCTGCGCTCATTAGGGTACCGCTGTACCGGCTCTGTATCAGGATGTCGGCGATCACTAAAACCTATAGCTGTAACCCCTGCCACCAACTGGTCAGCATACTCCGCCATCTGGTCATATGATAGCCCTCCTGCTCTCATCCCATCACGTAAACCCTGCTCAACGCACTCCATGCAGTCGTACTGCAATTTAAAGGGAAAATATCAGAAATTCTACACATCTAAAAACAATTAAAACACAAATTTTAATTACTAAAAAAACTCACCGCTGCGTTCAGTGCAGCAACTCTCCGTGTGCCTGAACGTCTAGTGACATCTCTATACCACTCTTGATGCTCCGAGTGGTAAGCTAATTCCACGTCACTGTAGCTCGTCTGCGCTACGAATTCATGTCGACGGTTCCACAACTCAATCGACTCGCTGGCTGCCTGTATGAACTGTTGGCCACGTGATGGCCCATGCTGTCCCACACGAAGAAAAAATCTAATCTCAGCCGCGGAATGTGGAGGATGAGGCCGGTCCTGAATCATCCCAAACTGTCCGAGCACGCGATCTGGATGATGCCACATCTTCGATGAGAAGCAGATCAGCGGAACTACTGCTCGAAACGTGTGTGACTGGATCACAGTACCGTTGTAGTCCTGACCTCTATGAAAGTACGGACGCCACTGCACACAAGGATTGGTCACATAATTACTCCTAAATCTATAACAAATCAATTAAAACTATTCTATAAAACAAAATGTTATATACTAACCACGAATGTCGTGCACTCGTCAAACCACAGCTTGTACAAGTAGAACTGATCTCCATGCTGACGGTGTGGGCCGGAAGCCACCGAAGGCCACGTGGCACTGCGTCCTGAGTAATCTGTGCACCCGTCACCGCATGTAGTGGTGATGTATGAGGAAACCGCTCCCACGTCCAGATCATCAGCAAGGCGGACCATCCACCAAAGTCACCACCCAGTGAAGAAGATGCCGTCATCTGCAGCGCCGATCTACCCATCTCACGGTACAAGTAGGATAGCACAGCTGCTCCCCAAGCAAACCTCCCCGCTCTGCGCCAATCCTCCACCAAAAGTAGGTACTGCAGGCAAACTGAACCTCCAGACCGATCGGAGAACAAGACACCTCCCATCAGAGACAGCGCATACGCTCTTGCAAACTGCTCTTTCGTCTAGGGTGATGCAGAAAGCGGTAGCTCATCGAAAGTCTCCCTGAGCCAAGTAATCCGGATGACGCCGCCACCAAGATCAGTAGGAGCCTGTCCTAACAGTCGAATACACATAGCCGACCAGTCCTCGTCTGGTATGTCTACTACGACGGCATCACCGTCGATCGCTAATCCGGTGAGTGTCGCAACGTCCTCTAGGGTGATCGTCACCTCACCGAACGACATGTGGAATGTCGATGTCTCGGGTCGCCAACGCTCTACGAGCGCAGTAATCAAACCCGGATCACCAGTAAGATGGGCTAGTGGCAGAACACTAGACAAGCCGGCATCGACGAGATACGGCAGGTACAGTGGATTGTATCGAACTAAATTGCCCGTATGGCGAATGTGGTAAGGTCGATCACCAGCCTATAATTAATGCACAAAACTATATTAATTCAATTCCTTCCATTCACCTAATATTTATATTTATATATCTAAACTAAACTTATTCTAACATAATATACTCGTAACTTAATCTAATTCTATTCCTAATTTAATTTAATTCTATTTGTAATATAATTTAATTTAATTTAATTCTATTATATTATATTCTATTCTATTCTATTATTCAGCTAATAAAACTATAGAAATAGTTTGAAAAAAACTTACCTCATTTGCCCAAACTGCGTCAATCCGATGGTGACCATGCCCCCAAAGAAGTTCCGGATCCATCGGAGCAGTATCGATTGTCGCAGGTGGTGGTCTCATCGAACAAGGATCGATAAGCGTAGGAACTGGGGAAAAAAATATTAGAACATACAAAAATTGTCGCCGAAAAAAAAAAACTCGCCGCTGGCGAGAATCCGACACTCACTCCTGTAGCGTTCGCCGCCGCGACGTCGCCCTCGGCCTCTTCCTCTGCCGCCGGGCGCCTGCTGCTCGTCGTCGGACATCCCTGCGCCGCCGCTGTAGATGGGGCGCCTTCACCTAGTTCCTCGCGCCGCCGCCTGAGACTCGGGCTCCGCCTTCTTACTCTCGGTGTCGCCGCTCCAGTTTCGGCGTCGGCGCCAGGATGGAGGATGAAGGAGGAGGGAGGGAGTGGAGAGTGGTGGTCTGGTGCGAGAGGGCAGGGAGGAAGGGGATAAAAAAAACTTGATAGCGACGGCGTCCCAGTCTCGGGCTTTGGCGCTTTTTGAATTTTTTCAAATTTCAAACAGCGCCAAAACCTGAGACTCGGGCGCCGTCGCTATCTATACCCTTAAAAACTCGATTTTTTGAGTCTCGGGCGCCGTCACCAACTTTCCTCCATTAAAACACAATATTCATGTAAATAGTTTTTAAACCACTATATTCGTGATAAATTAAAAAAAAACAATATTTAAGGAATTAACCCGCTAAATGCCACCCACATAACAACTATCATACATGTTACCAAAAAAAAAAACTATCATACACACTACGCAGCTGACATTTGTTGTTCAAGTTGTACGCACTGCACAGAATGGCTCACGTGGCAGTAAGGATAAAGTTTTTTTAGTTAATTAATAACATAACCCCACCTTGCGTTCCTGTAGTTTCTGTTTTCAGGCGCTTCTCTCATCAGTCATCACTACACTGCAGTGACGGGCTGGCTGCCTCTCTCTCTCTTCGGCAGCATCTCTGGAAGAACTTTGGATCCATTCGCTCTATCCTCGCCCCGTTCTCGGCAAGGTAATAGCCAGGTTTCCCCGTTCCTTATTACTATCTCCGATTTCTGTCCGCTCTATCTTTCTGATAGCGATCTCTGATGCTTCATATTCGATTCGAGAAAGAAGCAGGTCTAGTTTTTCACTCTTTGATTTGTGATTTTACGTTGCCTGTGATTTGGCTTCTCGTTGGATTTCCCCCTTTTTCTGGCTTTCGATATAGAAGCGAGATGTTCAATTCCTGGGTTTTGATTCTTGATCCAAGGATCTTGCACTGTGCGTGACTTATCTACCTGAGAGTTCGGTTGAAAGCTTCTAACGATTGGGTTCCTTCATTTCCTTCTCGTTGGAGGTCAACTTGTTTTTTTCTTTTTTGGGTTATTAGTTGATTTTGCTACAGTGATTGTTTGAGGATCTTTCACTGGCTGAGAATCGAGCTTGTCTTAAGCGTTTATTTGGTGATTTAGAGGACTCGAGGGAGAAAGATTGGAGCATGGTTGTGTTTTACTTCTATTGGTGTTATGGCAATCGGCTAGATCTCTTTATTGATTGAAGTCATTTATGGCTTGGTTTCCATGTATAGCTCGCAGTCAGCTTGTTGATTTCATAAGAGGAATGGGCATGCATAAATAGAAATGAAATATCATTATAGCGTTCGAAAGTTGATCGATTACTTGTATGGTTTTTGCCTTGTTTGACTGTTCATTGATTGTTCTTCTTTTCTTCTTGTGCACTGGAGAAACAAGCCCAACTGAGAGATTGGAAGTATATTTGGCTTGAAACTTAAGCAGCAGTAAACTACTGAATGCTGTGTTTACTTTACTCCAGTGTTCTTCTCATGTTCAATTTTGTTTGTCCTTCGTTCCTTTTTATTTTATCATTTGCTCTTTTGTATACATAACTTCTAAATGCCTGTTTTATGGATACATAGAAAGAAGCACTAGCTGTATTCTTGTTTTGTTTGTGTTAACTGTAAGTCCAACAATTTGGGAACTGTTATTGCATTGTGCAAAAAGTTTTGGAGACCAACTTATATATGGAAGCACTGCTTATTTTTTTTTTTTTTGCTAGAAAGTAAACTGTTTTTTCCTTTGATTTCACATCTGGAAAGTAGGTGAGAAGAAGAGACTATGTCAAGCAGTAGAAACACCCACTGGTGCTACAGATGCAGGAGAACAGTTCATTTGAGAGGACGAGATGCAGTTTGTCCGTACTGCAGTGGTGGATTTGTTCAAGAACTTGATGAAATGGGGCAAATCGGCCCTCTGGATTACTTTGGACTCGGCAATGATGTCGATCACGACCATAGGTTCGGACTTATGGAAGCCTTTTCAGCCCTTATGAGGCAAAGACTAAACGATCGAGGCCATAGACATGAAACGAGGCCCAGGTCGTCAGATCCAGTTCCCGAACAGGGTCCTGGATTTGGTCCCCTGCTGATTTTTGGTGGCCAGATCCCGTTTCGGCTATCAGGGAATGGCGGGTTCGACTCGCTTTTCCCTGGAGCCCCAGGAATCGAGGTCGCGAGGGGAAATGGTGGTGATTATTTCATTGGTCCTGGGCTTGAAGAATTGTTCGAGCATCTCTCCACAAATGATAGGCGTGGGCCAGCACCAGCAGCTCGATCATCAATTGATGCAATGCCAACAGTCAAGATTACTCAAAGGCATCTTCGAGGGTCTGATTCTCACTGTCCAGTGTGCAAGGATCAATTTGAACTTGGAACTGACGCAAGACAGATGCCTTGTAACCATTTATATCACGCTGACTGCATAGTTCCCTGGCTTGTACAGCATAACTCGTGTCCTGTTTGCCGCCAGGAGCTTCCTTTGCAGGGATCCTGTGGTAGCCGCAGTCAACCAGGCTCATCAAGTTCAAGAAGCAGGACTAGTGGCAGAGAAGGAAGAAGGAACCCTTTCTCTTCTTTGTGGCCATTCCGCACTTCTGGTTCCAGCTCTGGCCACAGCAGGGCAGCTACCGGAAGCAGCTCTGCAGCTATGAATGAAAACACTCATCACCAGATGGGTTATTCAGGATGGCCTTTTGACTAGGATGTGTTAGTGTGCGTTTTTGGAGTTGTTTCCTTTTGTTATTATTGTAATCGTGACTGGAAATGTCTACCATCCATATGCAACATAAATTTGTTGCTTAGGTTTGGGAAGATTGAAGTCCCTGTGAGTTGTCCATAAGTGTTTGAAAGGTCCTTCGTTTGTCTGCAAATGAAATGACTAAGTTTGCCTGCAATGCTGTAGCCTGTAAGTCATGTTTTGAGATTATTTATTCCTCACTAAACCTGCAATAAAGTTTCGTTTTGTTGTATTAATTATTACATTATATGCAATGCAATGTTAAATCTGAATCATGAAGAATACGGTGAACTAGTCCTCACTTCTCAGTCCAATAAAACAAGCATTTGATGTTTGGCTGTGTTGCCGGAAAAAATTCCAAAATACATCTGCTTTTAACAAGAATTTTCAAAATACACACGCTATAATTTTTTTTCCAAAATGCACATGTTAGGACATCATTGCGGTTGACGGCCGCAGTGAATGCCTGACGTAACACTGAAACTTGAAACAAACGCAATTATGTACTCGGCTATCTGATTGTAGCGAATTGTTTTATGATTTCACATAACTTTGCAAGATGTTTCAATTTGCAACAAGCTTTCATCCCAAAAAAAAAAAAAAAAATTGCTACCCCGCGCGAGCAATTTATCAATTTTGACAAACTTTGGAAGATCATAACTTTGTGCTCCGCAATCTAAATGTCATGAAACTTTTTTTGATTTCGCATAACTTTTGATGGACTACAACTTTGATTATAACCATAATTTTGGAATGTATGTGGATTTGTGGAAAGTAAAGACAGTTATTCCCGAAATCCCGTATACCCAAAAATATTTCTTTTTTAAAAATGATTTCCTAGTAAAAGTTGTAGTTCTTAAAAAAATTTGCGCAATAAGAAAAAACTTTACGACGTTCGGATTGAGGAACTAAAAGTTATGGCCTTCCAAAGTTTGGAAAAATCAAAAAATTGCTCATTCGGGGTAACAAACGACATTTTTTTTAGATGAAAGTTTATTTCATATTGAAAGATCTTGAAAAGTTATGCGGAATCACAAAAAATTTCGCTACAATCGGATAACCGAGTGCAAAGTTACATTCATTTGAAGTTTCGGTGTTACGTTAGGCATTCACCGCGACCGTCAACCGCAAGTGATGCATTCACCGCTTTCGTCTGCCGCGGTGAATGTATTCACTGCGGTTGACGACCGCAGTGATGTCCAAACTTGTTTACTTTGAGAATTTTTTTTTTTCATAATGCGTGTATTTTGGAAATTTAAAAAAGAAATGTTTATTTTAGGATTTCATCCGTGTTTTGTCTATGGGTGTTTGTTTTGTCGTTTGCTTGAAGAAATCACTCCTTTTAAGTCTTTAACATAGACGATTTGAAAAGGGGACAACCACTTTCTCCTTCCAAACGGGGTTAAGTTTGTTGGGTAGGATGGCTTGAAATTAGAGGTGGTAATTTATAATCAATTCACTAATTTAATCCAATTTATCTACTTAAATATCCAACTAATCTAATACATTTAAATTTAATACATTTGATTCAAATTTAATTGAATTGGTAGATTAATGGATGCTTAGCAAATTACAATTCAATAACTATATTTTTAATATTTTACAACTTGGTCCCTAAAATTTATTTTTTATACGAAAAATATCATTGGGCTTGAAAACAAAGGATTTTGAATAGTATTCGTAATTCAGAAGAATTATAGGGGGCAATCGAGTAGCTGGAAAAAACTCGGGCCCGCTTTTGAAAGTGGAAATGGAGGCAAATTAGTTACGAGCAAATGGATATTATGAGACAGAATGAGAAAAGGTAATTTTGATTCATTCAACTTCTAAAAGAAAATTACAAAAATGAAACCATTCATTTTGAACAACAAAGAGCAATTACTCAAGTCCACCAAAAAGCTCTCCAACAAGCCTTACAAGGAGCTTTAGGAACTTTGAATAGTTGTTTGACTAACAAGTTACATTTACATACTGTTAGTGCTAATATTGGCATGTTTGGGGAGATAAAAGAAATAATTGACATTTTGGTACCTAATTTTTTTATAATTACATTTTAGTACCTAATCTTTTTAAATTTTACATAATGTCAAAGGCTTGGATGTCAGTTGGATTCATGAATCAATCCACCAATTCATATAATCCAAATCCAATACATGAATCCATCAATTCATTTGATCCATCTGCTAATCCAATACACCAATCCATTGATACAATTCATTTGCCACCTCTACTTGAAATGAATAAAATTTTGGAATGATTGGATATGGAGGAGAAGACGAACGATAAGGCAAGACAGTGGAGATTGGAGACTGAGAAGGCAGAAATCTTTGCACGAGAAATACGTGGCACCTAAGATCGAGAGTGGCTTGGTTAGAAGATGGGAGCTAAAATACTAAAAATTTCACACTAGGGCAACATAACGAAAGAAGGAAACCAGTCCTTGGCAACGGTTGAACTCACAAGGAATACGATGTAGAGTTAGAGGAGAGTGGCATGTCCCAATGCTGCAATATTGTTTTGATCCTTTAACAGTGAACCTTATATGTAAAACCCCACTCCCTAGATGCCAACAAAGATATACGAGAGTTTGGCATTACACAAAAAATGGTTTATATACAGTCAAAATGGGATATCATCTAGCTCTTGAGCTCTCCTTAGCCTCTAGCCGAAAACCACTGGTCCAAATCATTGATCCTCCTATCTGGAAGAAAACATGGGACATGCTAACCCCTCCGAAGCTGAAATTCTTTATCTGGCAGTGTCTTAGAGTGATATTACCAACAGTAGTAGCACTCAAGTCTAGAGGAGTAAATTGTCATGTCCGGTGCCCTGTTTGCTGGAGAAGCCCGGAAAGTCTTGAACATCTGTTCTTCAAATGCCCCTTGGCCACAAGACTGTGGTCGCTCATGGGCCTAAATGACTTCATTTCCTCGGCCCCGACTGTGAACTTCAGTCTCTGGTGGCGACATGTTATGCTCTCTGAGCACCCCCAAACCCATATTCTCCTATACGTTTGTGTTTTGTGGAGGATCTGGAAGTCTAGAAATAAGGTGGTCTTTGAGCATATCCAACCTCATGCCCAGTCTCTCGTTCGTCAATGTTTTTTCCAAGTTCGTGAACTGTCATCCTCCCTACCTTTGGTCCCTGCTCCTCCACCCCAGCCTTCTTGCTTCGCCGCTCTTCCTGGTCCCCTCCTCCTGATGGTTTTCTGAAGATCAACTTTGATGCTGCTGTTCGACCTTCCGGATGCTCGTCTGGTCTAGTGGTGCGGAGTTCAGGCGGGCATGTGGTTCTGGCAGTAGGGTCTCTTCACCCCGGTATTGATGATCCCTACCTCGCAGAACTCCTAGCTGCTAGAGACGCCATCTACCTTTTGGTCTCCAAATCTCTGCCTCGGGTCATCATAGAAGGAGATTCAGAGGTGGTGATTCGTCAGCTTCGTCAAGGCGCTCTCTCAGACTCCATTGGAGGTTCGGTGCTTCGGGATTGCTTCCTTCTCCTGTCCTCTGTTTCTGTATCCTTAGAGTTTAGGGCAGTTCCCCGGACTGCTAACAGGGCTGCCCATAGAGTGGCGCAGAAAGCCCTGTTACTCTCCCCTCTAGAGTTGTGCGCCTTTGACTTTGTTGGTTGGCTTCACTAATGTATTGGGTTGGGCAGGGTCTTGCTAGTTTGTATAGGTTCTCTCTTGACATTTCTTGGAATAAAAAAAAAGGAATACGATGTAGAGTAAAGAGAGATAGAGGGGAGATGAGACGAGTGGACGAGCATTTTTGTTTGACCAAAACAACCTTAATGAATTGTGTTAGTATGGTGCTAACAGTGTAACACTTGAGATGTTAATACTCATTTTGGTCCCTTTAGACTGCTAGCTATCAATCGAGAATTACTTTTAGTTCACTTTAATAATTTTATTATGGTTTAAGAATTTTTTTTAACATGTGCTAGACAAACTATTGTCACACATATGTAAAAAATTGTGTTCTTCAAAAATTTATGAAGCATATTTGATATTGTTTCTGAGAACGCTCATAACCCGAAATGACCCAAAACCCGACCCGAAACCCGATGGGTTGGGTCAATATTTGACCCGGAATCAACAAACCCAACATGACTCGACCCGTGAAGACCCGTAACCCGAGATTCCCAACCCAAAATTACCTAACCCGACCTGATTGCCAGGTCTACGTTTTGATTTACTGTTCCTATTTTCATAAAAAATCAAACAAAAAATAGGGTTAATCTAGTCTGTTGTAACCTAATCGGATCGAATCCCACCCCAGTAATTATAGATAGGGGCGATTAGGGCTATTAAACGGTCCGGTTTGGTTAAAACCAGACTTGATTGACCCGATTTTTAAAACCGGATTGGACATACACACGACTGAAGACGGGATTGGATGGGTGCACGGTTTTAACCAAACCGGATTGGATGCATGCGGTTTGGTCCGATTTTAACCGGAAAACCGTTTTGACCGAATTCCCCAACAAAAACCAGCGCCTGACCAACCGGGTCAAAAACCAAGCAGCACCTCCCCTCTATTTTTGTGTTTCGTCGCTCGCTGTTTGCTTCGTCACCGTCGTCGAGGGATGGAGCATGAATTGACTGCTCCTCGAACGCGAAGGCAAATCGCGAAGGTGTGAACGGAAGGAGATGGAGGGGAGCAGATTGATGTCGCCTCCGCTTTGCTTCACCGTCAGTCGTCAATCGGCTGCTCCTCGAGGCTCGAACGCGAAGGCAGATCGCCAGGCACAGCACCTGCCGCCAGAGGGAGGTGGAGGAGGTTACAGGCGAATGGAGGGGGGACTAGGGTGGGGAGGGAGATCGATTACCGGATTAGGGTTTCCCAAGTTTGGACTTTGGAGTCTGGAGGAGATGAGTGGGCTGTCGGGCGCGGGCTGGGGGAGGAGTGGGAGGTGAATTTGCGCTAAGGCCTAGGCTTAACTCATCAACCGGTTTTAAAAGG